ATGTAAAATACAAAAACTGGAAAGGAGCTGAATGCACTGTGGCATCTTGGAACAGAAAAAGAACAGTACTGGAAAAGCTAATGAAATCCGAATTAAGCCTGGAGTGTGGTTAATACTAATGTTCCAATGTTGATTTCCTAGTTTTGGTAAATGTACCACTGTTATATAAGATGATAAAATTAGGAGAAATTGGGTAAATGGTACATAGAAACTGTCTGTACTATCTTTGTAACTTTTCTGTAAGTATAAAATTATTCCAAAGTAAAAATTTTATTTAAAAAAAAGATGATGAAAAGACAGCATGAAAGGGACAATTCAACTGAAATGGCTTTTTTTTTGTTTAATACATGGTCTTTGTAGGAAAATCAGAAAATAAGGATAAACAAAAATCACCCTATCTCTAGGTCACCTTCATTGACCCAGAGATAATCACTGCCAACTTCCAGACTTTTTTTCTCTGTAGATAAGTAGATAAGAAAATAAAGGTAGAGTCACACTATAATACTGGTTCCTTATCTCCTTTCTTTTCCATCTAAGACATTGTGATCAGTTTTCCATGCCAAGAGAATATATTTTTTAACTGCTTGTTTCTAATCCCTTAAGTTATTAGCTGATCCCATACTCTCAGGTATTTATATCATTTTCACTGTTACAAACAATACTGCACTGTATTGATGGAAACTAAGTGTTTTGTGCATGTCAGTGATTGTTCCCTTAGTCCTTAAAAATGGAGTTGCTGAGTCAGAGGGCCTGTTCACTTTTAAGCCTTTATGTTCCACTTGCCTTTCTGAAAAACTGTCCCACGATCCAGTCCCACAGCCACGTCTCTGAACTCTCCCCGGCTGAGTCGTCATCGTCGTCTTCTGTGTCTTTACTAACTAGAAGGGCAAAAAAATAGGAGGTATTTGTTTTCATTTGTATTTTTTCAACGAGTAGAGAGGTTTCCATTTTCTGTATATTGCCCACTTATATTCTTACTTTAGTAAATAGCCTGTTGGTACAATTTTCCATTAGTGGATTGTTTATTTTTGTTTTGATTCATAGGAGCACTCTATCTGCAGGTCTCCCTTCAGAGGCAGACCAGAATGCATAGGCTTTGCCCTCACTGATCTCATTTTTCCCACTGCAGATCCTAAATCTGACCCAGGCCCTGAAAGACAACAAGAGTCCCCTGCACCTTGTCCAGATGCCACCCGTGATTGTCGAGACGGCCCGTTCCCACCAGCGATCTGCTAGCGAGTCCTACACACAGAGCTTTCAGAGTCGGAAGCCCTTCTTTTCATGGTGGTAGCCCCAGAGGCAGACAAAGGCACATTGTCTGAGACTTGGCCTGGGAGAAAGCCTGGGGAGCAGGTTGCAGGAAGAGCCAGAGAAGCCGGCGGAGATCAGTGCCCTTAAGAGCCCTCCCTGTCTGCTCACCACCCCCTCAGAGCTTTCCCAAGCACAGGGAGAAGCACAATCAGAAGGACAGTGTGTGCTGTTGGGCCCTTCTGAGAGCTGGCCTCGGGGGGCTGGCGCTCCGTGCAAGTAGTCCAGATGCCCGGGAAGGAGCATCTCCCTTCCAGCATCTCCTGGGGGAATGCTGGGAAACTCCCTTCCCTTCCTGACACCCTGCTCTGTAGCTATTCCTCATTATATTCTGCATCAGAAAAAAACAAATACAAATTTAAATATAAAACCCAGGCAGAATCCCAGAACCTCTTATAGCAGAAAACCTCTGATCCAGACCTAAATTTGCATGGGCCCAGACATCCAGGTGTCTCACAGTTCCTTACCCCCACGGACCAAGGCAGCTAGGTGACTCGCAGTGCTGGGACAGACAGAAGCCACACTTCCTTTTGGTTTTCTGCCAAGTCTTCTTCCCCTTCTCCTCCCACTGGTGCAACAGGCTGACTCCAGACACGATTCTCACAGTGGGGAGACTTTTGCTCTAGAACTCCCAGCAGTTTTGCAGTGATGGTATAGATCACCTCTGCTCCCTTCCCTAATGGGGACCCAACCCCTCTAGTCTAGGCCTGTAGGTTGCTTGTCACTCAGGCAAAGGCAGGAGGGAGGAAGTTGACTCCCCAGCATGCAAATGTGATCCATACCACCTGGGTATATGCTGGGAACTGTAATGGTCTATGGGTGAACTTATCCGAGCCTTGCTTCCTTAGTCCTTGGCTGTAGCCAAAGGTAACAAACTCTCCCAGTCTGCTAATTTGTTCCTGTTGTTTTAGATGTTTCGTTCTCAACTCTTGAGTTAGTGCTTCAGTTCTGGGTTCTGGAGTGGCTCTCGATGAGGGTTCTGGGGTGGGTCTCAGCACATAAGAGGACAGGATATTAGGTCCTTGGACTTCTTTTTCCGCTACCACTGTTGCTTGCTGGAGGTAACAGGACTTGTGTTCCGCCTCCTGGTTGGCAGCTTCCCTTTGCTCCCCGACTTCTTGTTCCAGGCCAGTTTTTCCACGGCTTCTTGAGAAAGGCAGAGCCCTAAGGAGAGAGGCCTTCACACTGCCCCCCGGTGGCTGCCCAACCCACTGTGCATCTTCTTGCTTCCACGTCTCTCTTCCCTCAGCTGTCCCCCTTACCAGCTGTCCGAGCCCTTTCTACACCAAAGCAAAGAATGGCCTCAGGTGGGAGTAAAGAGGGTGCCACCCGTGGCTGTGGGGCAGCCCTGTGCTACTGGACGTTTCAAGTTTCCGGCATCCTGCGATTGGTCAATCAGCCTTGGAAAGAAACTATCTCGAAGGTTTGAAGAACAACCAAAGAAAGGGAGCAAGGACTATGGCTGTGTTCCCTCTGCTTGCCTAGCTCCCGCCATGCAGGTGTGCAGTTCTTTCGTCAGCTGCGCCAGGCTGGGCCCCTTCCAGTCCAGCCCCCAGGAGCCAGCTTATCCTGGGCTTCCACCCCGCTGACAGGAAGTCTCTGGAGCTGGGTACACATGCCCTGTGGACAAGGCACAGCTCCCCACCGGCCCCAGCCCTGACAATCCCATAGAGCCGACCCCGACTCTGGCCTTGGGGATCATTTTTGCGAGAACATGGGAGCAGCAGGGCTCCCAGAGGCCGGAGGGGACCCAGGTGTGTTTAACTCTCCAGACACCTGTGTGCAGACGTGTTTGTGAAGCCCCCACCTGGGTGTTGAGAGAGCCTGAGCAGTCTAAAGAGCCCGGTGCTTCCCTCACTGAGCAGATCTGCACATTGTCCTCAGGCAGACCAGCTCTGGGATGAGAAGGAAATTGGGTCCAACGTAAGAGGGAGCTGGTCCCAGTCCTGGCAGGCCAAAGAGTATGGGGCATCCTTTCCTGGCCCACATCCGTTCTCCTTGAAGCCTGTACTCAGGTTGCCTTGAATGTGGACTTTGGGAGAGCTAGGGCCCAGAGTGCCAGGGCAGGCTTCTGGGCGGCACTCGAGGAAACGCCCGGCCCTCTGCCAGCCGCAGGCCCTGTCTCCCAGTGTCAGGGAGTAGAGGCTGGGCTGTAGAGTGCTGCTGCCTCTGTACTGTTCTTCTAATGCACTGTAGAAATTGTATGTAATGTATTTAAATCAATGCAGATGTATGAATAACAAGTCCAATTCTGACCTTTTTTGTCTAGTTTTCTTTGGTGGAAGGAAGACAAGGTAGGATGCAATTTTAAGGACAAAGAACCCTGTGTTGCCATGGAGTTACTGAGATATGGCTCCTGAGTCTCTTTTCCTCTAGCAGAGGAAGGTACAGGTCCTCATTTCCCAAAATATTTTCATAACTCATTTGACACCAACACCTGACCTGCACCTACACAGATGCAAAGCTATTTGTAATCATCATGTATCCCTTTTACTGTGAATATTTGTTGCAGAAATATTAGTGTTCTGTTATGAGATGCTCCCCCAATAGGGATTATACAGTTTTTGCAATAACTCCTTTCTAAAAGCCAAAAAAATTCTAAATCACAAAATCATCTCTCCCAAAGGTTTGGGGTAAGGAATGTGGACTGGCTTCTCTTTTTGGCCATAAGAGGGCAGCTCTGCTCTGTGTGTGCATCACTGCCCACTTGGAGCAATTTGAACCCTGGCTCCTTTAAGTGACAGATAATCAAGCAGATAGGATGGGTGTGAGGGGAGCTGAATGCTAATGAACATATAGTAGGCTTCTTTTGAGCCAAAGTTAGAATAGTAGTCAAAAATCCTCACCTCAAGGGTTTTCAGGCTACAGGAAACCTCAGTAATGCAAAAGGCATGATTGGTGCAGCTGTCGAGCTGCCTCAGGATGGTGGCTCCACAGGGATGCAGAAGCCAGCTGAGGAGCTGGTGCCCACTACACTGACGGCAGACTCATCCGGCCTAGGGTCACGGCCCGCTATGCAGGGCTGACTGTAATAGTCTCCCCTTCTAGAGCTGGCTAGGGGCCAAGAACCCTCTCTCCAGGACTGCCTATGGAGAGGCTTCCATCTCACCTCCCAGTCTGACAGCCTCTGGTAAAGGAGGCCAGCCCTATTTTCTCCTTCCTTCCCTCCCTGCAGCGAGCCCAGTGCCTCACCCCCAGCTCCGGAGTGTCCATTCTGGATCTTCCCCTTCTGTGACAGACTCACAAAGCTCTTGATGCGAATGGTTTTATTTTGCCACTTAAATTATGGTTTCCTTGTGCTGGCCTGAGGAAGCACAAGGGGAGGGGTGTGGGACAAGCTGCTGGACCACGGGTTACGGTAGTAGTAGGAGGGTCGGAAGCAGGAGTGGTGAGATGCTGAGTCTGAGTGCCTGTCCTTGACTCCCAGGGGAATATCATGCAGCCCAGGTATAGTGTTAAAAGTGAGAAGGGCTGAGGCAGGAACGGTCACTGTTTCTCCTCAATCTGGTGAGGAATGGATCCCATATAACAGCTCAGTGGAAGCCTCCGGGCCTGTTCTGACTCGAGCAGGCCAGTGGCAGCAGTGGGGCTGTCGGCCTCAGCTCTCTTCCTTCTTCGCTTCCCCAGACCCTTTGGCAAAAGTCCCTATGAATCCTGGGGAAGATAGAGCTGTTCCCAGCCCCTTCCCCGGATCAGTGTCTGATCTGATGAAGGTAGCTTGGGGGACCTGGCTTCCTCCATTTCCGGCGGATCCTGGCACTGGTCCTCCTGGAGTTCAGATACTGCCTGCTGGAAGCCATCTCCGTGGCACTGCTCTGTGGGTTGGCCGGTGGAGCGCAGGGCTCTGTGATTCTGCAGGGAACAAGTATGTTTTAAGCCACCATCAATAGGAAGGACAGTACAGGGACTGAAGAGATTTTGGTCATGGTGAACTATTAAAACACATTGTTCAGGGGGACTTCCCTGGTGGTCCAGTGGCTAAGACTCCACACTCGCAATGCAGGGGGTCTGGGTTCGATCCCTGGTCAGGGAACTAGATCCCACATGCCGCAACTAAAGGTGCCGCATGCCGCAACTAAAAGATCCCACATGCTGCAACTAAGACCTGATGCAGCCAAATAAATAAATATTAAAAAACAAAACAAACATTGTTCGGGGCCAAATGAGACCAGGGCTCTGGTCTCATCTCTGCCCAAAGAGCTGCATGACAAGGCAAAGCTTTCAGACTGCTCTTCTGTAAAGAGAGTGGGGCTAGATCAGGGGGTGTGACACTCAGCATTTCTCCGTCTTCCTCATCCTGTACTTATGGCAGACATCATTAATCTGTCCTGATACAAGACCAGAGGGCAAGTATCCATCTCAAGATGATTTCAGTAGGGATTACTAATCAATTGGAAGTAATATGAGCAATGAAGCTGATTTGCTGCCCCTGGACCTGATGATCTCAGAAGGCCTGCTCGGATCTGATATTCTGACTGTGGGCCCAGCGTTTAACCCATAGTGATTGGTTAGGCCACGTGGTTCAACTCGATCTCTTGGGGCTTGCTGTTCCTGAGCTGGCAGTGACCTAATAAGCAAAGAGGTGGAGGACTAGGGAAAGTTTAAGGTAAAGTTTCTCAACCGTTTCTAACCCTTGATATCTCTACAGTACTCTCTTATGCTATTTTCTTAGTAATCCCACAGCCAAGGTTTTCACCAGGCTTACTTTTGAATGTTACCTGTTCAGCAATAGGTAAACAGGATTGTTTTTTCTTCCAGACCATAGTCCCTCGCACCTGGTGGAGAATCACTGCGAAATGAGGTGGCACTGAGAGGACCCAGGCACCCGTTCCCATGGGAGTAGGGTTAGGGTCATAGATGATTCCAGTAGTAAGAGCAACCTCTAAGTGTCAACCACGTGGTAAGTAAGCGCTATGTAGACCTCACAACAACCCCAGTGGTAGGTACTTAGAGGTGAGGCCAGGTGAGCAGCTCCAGGCCCCAGAGCCAGGCAAGGGTACAGTGGGCGTGTTAGTCCAGGCCCAGGGGCCTACCTGATCCGGCTGCAGTGGTGTAGCGGGGGGCCCAGGGGCTTCTGCCGAGGGGGCCTCTTCCTGCGCAGCCTCTTCAAGGCCTCCGCCACACGGTGGTCCCCTGCACACTCCCAGACGACCTGCGCTCGTTCCTCGGCCAGCTGGTCCCCGCTGCGGTGAAACAGGCCCTGGATCTGCAGCAGCTCAGCGTCCTGGAAGATGTTGGCCGAGGCCTGCTTGCGGCCCCGGGCTTCCGTCGGGGCCTGCCCAGGGGGCGGCTCGCTCACCACAGAGGCGGGGGTACCCATCCTGGGTGCCGAGGAAGGAAAAGGGAGGGACGTCAGCAGCTCAGCGGGCCCTTCCCAAGCCCTGGGGTCCTGACTAACGCAAGGGCTTCTGGTGTTTCTATTCTCTAGGAGCCGAAGTAGAGGAAGTCTTGGCTTAAAATCACTCTAATTTCCCAGAGCACCTTGGGGAAATAATAATGATGATGACAGTCAAACTTTAAAGTGCTTATGTGCCTGACCTATGTATTAACTTAAGGGTCACAGAAGGTGAGGATTGTTTATCTCCACTTTACAGATGAAGCGCACCCCAGATGTTAAATGACTTTCTTGCAGGTACAAAGCCATGTGTAAGTGCAGAGCCAGAAGTAGAACCCAAGTCTGTCTGGCTGTGGAGTCCACACAGACCCCGGGTCCTAGTGATTACGCCCGTGGCAGCGGCAGCTGAAACGTGTTAAGCACTTATGTATCAGGCTTCACTGTAAGAGCTGTATTCACAAAACATCGTTGAAATATGAACACAACAGCCCTATGAGGTAGGTACTTTTTAACTTCCTCATGTCACAGATGAGGAAACTGAAGAACAATCCAGAATACTCTGATGCTGAGACCTAAGCTTTGTGGCACAGAAGTAAGAGAGGGGCTGTGGACTTGGGCTCCCCAGGTGGGAATCCGGCTTCTGGCCGCCTGCACCACTTACTGGCTGGGTGACCCTCCGCACCTCATCTGCTTCCTGTATAACTTAGCCATACTAGTACCTACTTCGTAGAGCTCCTGTGAGGACTGAGTGAAGACACATAAAGCATTAAGACCATTCATTTGCTTTTCCATCTACAACATTGAGAAGGGTCATCCCATTTTCTATTTTCAAGACCCTGGGGATGAATCTAGTCCATGTAATTTAGTAAACACAGTATGAAATAGACCAATCATATCTAACCACAGTCCAGAGGCAAAGGCAGGGGCAGAAGGGGTTACAGGGTTAGAATATCCTATCAGGGCAGAGGCAGAAATCGATACTAAGTTCAATAAAAGTTAGGCTCTGGTCAATGCCCCTGCCTCCTCACATGCAAGAAATGAAAATCGAATTACCTCAGTTCTAGATAGTTGTTTTTGAATGATAAAGGGATAAAAGGCTCACCCACCTTATCCTTATCTTCACTACAGCCTGAAAAAGCTATGGCATTGGAAAATAGACTGGAGACCAGGAAGACCAAGGACTTTGGCATTACACAGAATTGGGTTTGAATCCCAGCTCTGCCACCTTTGACCTTAGGCAAGTTACTCAACCTCTCTGAGCCTGTTTGCTTAACTGTAAAATGGGGCTAATAATCAATTCTTAGGATTACTGTGAGGATTAAATGGGTCTAGTGTGGTATCAGGTCCCCAGTGGGTGCTAAATAAATGCAAATGCCCCTCTTCTTGGCCTCCTTGACTTTTTCACTTGGGTCAGGGGTGTAATGTAGACCCTCCTTTTCCTCTGAGCAGCCTGGCCTGAGCCAGCTGAAGGCCTGCCTGTGCTCCCTTCACCCTTCACAGTCCTGGGCCTAACAAGGAAGGCCTGGTTGCTAAGTCAGACCTCATTCCACAGCCAGCTATAGAGATACCTATCAAACAGCAACTGGCTTACAAAGGGGGAAATCAAATTTTAAATATATTTAAATTAAAAATGTACATGCTCACTGTAAAAAGTGCAAAAGAACAGAATCAGGGACTTCCCTGGTGGCGCAGTGGCTAAGCATCTGCCTGCCAATGCAAAGGACACGTGTTCAAGCCCTGGTCCGGGAAGATCCCACATGCCGCGGAGCAACTAAGCCTGTGAGCCACAACTACTGAAGCCCACGTGCCTAGAGCCTGTGTTGCGCAACAAGAGAAGCCACCGCAATGAGAAGTCCGCGCACCGCAACGAAGAACAGCCCCTGCTCTCTGCAACTAGAGAAAGCCCACGTGCAGCAACAAAGACCCAGCACAGCCAAAAAAAATAAATAAATTTATTTAAAAAAAAACAGAATCATATAAATAAGAGCATCACCAGTTTCCTATCCATCCTCAGCCCACCTGCCGAAGTAACCCTTTCTCTCACCTGCTTTTTTTTTTTTTTTGCGGTACGCGGGCCTCTCACTGCTGCGGCCTCTCCCGTTGCGCAGCACAGGCTCCGGACGC